AACTCGGCGGCGCCCTCAGCGGGTAGTCGACGCTGACGATAACTAACGTTGGCCTCTTAGGGTAGCTGGTGACGTGCATGTTCTCACAGCTTATTTATAATACTTATTTGGAGACAAGTCTCTTTAAGATATTTTAAAACATTAAAAAAAGTGTTTTTTTTTCTATTTTTGATATTTTAAAAGTAGATGTTGTATTTAAAAAAATATTAAAAAAAACAAGTAAATAAATCCTATTTTTTATTTGTTTTTGAAAAAAAAAAGAGAAATAAAAATTGGTTCCAAAGAGTCTCTTATATGCTTTAAATATTTTTTAATTAATTAATTAATTAATATAATTTATTAAAATTATTGAATGTTTACTCACATGCCACTCATTTTTTCTGTATTTAATATTTAAACTTTAATTATCACGTATACGGTATATGCCACCACATGCAAAAAAAAGAAAGAAAAAATAGAAAAAAAAAGTTATGGTTAGAACTTAGATCTGTAAATTGAGTGCAATTGCGAGTTCAGCTTCCTTTCGTTCCCCTCCCGCTCCCAGGCGAAACGCTGGAGGGAAAAGAGGGCCATTGACGGGTATTCTTTCCATCGTCTTGCTTCTACTACAAGCGTTTGCTGTTCGATAAATCTCCTATAATCCGCCAGCTCCCGGAGTTAGTAAATCCGGGATTTAAATCGAAACCAAGGTAAAACGGGAGATTCCGTAGGATTAAAAGAATTTTTACTGTTTGACGGGATTTAGTTTAAATCTTGCTCAAATCCTGCTGCAACATAGCTATGCGGTACAAACGCGCACGATCGTAGTCCCAGGGCTCACGTCTGGTCTGATTCCTCGGCATGCTCTTGTTCCCTCTCCCCTCCTGAGATATCGCCGCCTGAAACGCGTTGTCGGACCTAAGTCCTGCCAACCCATCTCCTGTTCCTCAGTCGCCACACCGGCCCCGGCCCGGCCGTCGCTCGTGGGTTTCCGCTAACGATTTCTTTTTACCCTTGTTTTGAGGTAGATGCAGCGCATGACATATGAAAGCATGTCCTTTTTATTATTTATCTTTCGCATAGTAATCGGATTGAATGGTCTTATCTTATCACAATGAATTACATGGTTGAGATCGAAAATAATTATTAATTGTTTTTTGATTTTTAATTCCTGCTTCTTGCACAAATTGATCTAGTGTTTTTGTCTGTTTTTGTTATTAAGATTTCTATACTATATTTGGAAAATTATAGAGGATGGTGCACGCCTGATTGTTGCTTGTGGGACATAAATAGTAGAGGTTCAATCACAGGGACCAATCAGCTGCTGCTAGTTGCTTTTCATGTGTCAATTTGATATTCTAAGAGTTGTAGATCATGTTGTGGTTTTATCCGTATAATTGAAATTATGTTGATTTTTACCGGGTAATGCACATTCATGTATTGTGTGTAGATACGTTGACATGTAACCTTTAGTAGGGTAAGTATTTTCGTGTCTAGATACGTTGACATGTAACCTTTAGTAGGGTAAGTGACGGCGGTGGGGAGAAGGTAGATTTCAGCTGAATTTTGTCGTTGGGCAATAGTCCAAAGAACACCTCACTCAGCATGAAAACTGATAATTAATATTGTATCGATTGATATTCTCTATAAACTGCACTAACTGCAACATAGCTTTCATATGTTTTATGACAATGAATCTAACTTTAATATGACAACAAAAATTTGTCACAGCTGGTTTGAATCTTTCATATGACAACAAAAATTTGTCACAGCTGGTTTGAATTCACCTTATTACGATTCCATATGGTTTCAACTTGAAATTGGGTATCATCATAGACTACTTCTCACAAATGGCTATTAAATTGAGGACTTTTACTAATAGAATGAATATATTATACTGCTCATCAGGATTAGAGAATTTTGGAATAATGTTTTTACAAAGACTTAATGAACAAGTCATTTTACATGGGTAAACCACAATTTCTCAAACAGAAGGATTCAGATAATGAAAATTTTTATCAATTGCTTACCTTTGACAGGCTGGAATATTTGAATTACGATAGACGTGATATTGTGGTTCAGCTTTCACTAAAAGTATTTCTTATATTGTAATGTAACTTAGTTGGAGCAGACTTGGAGACCAAAGCTGAGCTCTAAATGTAAGTTATGCTGTATAATTGTTAGATTTAGGGATGATAGGCTTGAGTTCAACAAGTTTGGTTTGTCTTGGATTGAGATTTATACCTCTACTTGAGTTTTACTATAAAGGAAAGCTTTCTTTTTTTAAAATTATTAAGCTCAATTAAGATGATGATTTGATTTATGATTTATATCTCTACTTGATTTTTACTTTATATTTATGCAGATATTTTTTTTGAATAGTGTGAAATTGTATTCATTATATTAAATAATGCTAGGCAATTGATCAATTTGACAATTCCATTGCACTCCTTGTTTGAAATTATTGCAAAATATACTATATTAAGAAGTTTGTGCAGTAATAGGGAAGGTTTTTGGCGGTTTTCAGTAGTATAGTCATTGTTGTTCATGTTTGCTTATGGGATGAAGCGGCACTAAACCTGCTGGCTTCCATGACTATGCAAGCATAGTGGAGATTGTTATAGGCGAGTTAGTTTTATTTAATGACATATGGCTGCTATTTTCTTGATATTTCAACGTGGGTGCAAAATATAAAGCTAGCATTTATCTTTTTCATGGTAATTTGGAGTAATCATTTTTTGGTCATGTAATGAACCAATTTAGGACGCAATGTTTTGATTAAATAAAAAGCCATCTGAGTGTAGAAATCATTGAAATGAGTACAATTAATCTTTTTGAACTGCAAACAAGTATTTATGCATATGTCTGGGTATGTGTGCTTTTTTAACTTTTTGCAAGTCTATTTTGCAGTAAATGACTTGGCATAACTGTAGTCTATTCAAGGTTAGTGAATGGTTTATTTGATTCGTC